TCTTTCTCCAATAATAGTGGATTTACTACCATTGGCTGTGGATATACTTTTTTGTGAGGAAGGTTTAAGATTTTTAATTTGTCTAACATCAAAAGTCACATGATCAGAACATGCAGAGTCAATTATCCATGCATTATTTAGAACGGTAGATGTGCTTATTAAAGCCTTACCATTAGAATCATCACTACCTGCGATTGTAGCAAGCATCATGCCTTTGTCGTCCTCTTTGTCAATGACAGTTACAGCAGCAGTTGGATTTCTTTTTTAATTCTTCTTCGATGCTCGACTGTGATCCCACCACTCGAGGTATCCTATGATTTCATAGCATCGTTCCTTGGTGTGTCCATCCTTATTATACTGAGTACATTTGTAGTTACTTTTTTCAAAATCTTTTGATTGCTTCAATTTGCTGTGGTGATTTGTTGGTTGCTTCTTTGTCATCATAGCTGTGGAATCAGAAATCATATCTTCTGTTTTCAACGTTGTTCGTCGGACTGTCTCTCTCTGGATCAATGCATAACATTCTTCTAAATCAGGTGTCACTACTTTACGCAAGATTTCTCCACGAACTTGCTCAAAATCATCATCTAGTCCAGCAAGGAATATATGCACCCTTAATCTTTCAATGAACTTCTGATATGACTTTACATCATCAGGGTCCTTCATGACTACTTTGTCATGTTGGTCCAATTCCCTAAAAATTTCAACCAACTCCCCATAATATTCAGTTAAGGTTCTATTATTTTGTTTTGCAGTAAATGTCCTTTGATTCAAGGCAAACACCTGTAGCTCATCACTTCCATCATAAAATGCCTTTGACAAAGCATTCCAAATATCGAGGGTAGTGGGTAAGCGAATATACCTTTTCATAATTTATGGCTTCATGGACATCAATAGTCATCTTTTCACTTTTTGGTTTTTAGCATACCATTTTCCATATCCCTCATCGTTCTCTGTTGGAGGCTTCACCTTCCCATGGATGTAGGACAATTTTTCCCTCTCTGCAATGTGCATCTCCATTAGTTGTGATCATACGTCATAATTGGATTTATTTAGGATAATGTCTGCGTTGAAGACACCTCAGATTGAACAACCATTGGAATTAGTTTTTCTGTCATCTCTCCAGTTAAGATCTCCAAGGATTTTGAAAGAAAAAGAAAAAAGTTATAAGCTATGGTACCAAATTGAAAAACATAGAATTCATTCTATAATTTTTATTCATATTATTTTTGTACACATATACTATGATCTTATAGTATTTTACTCTAGCAAATAAGGACTAAATATAAGAAGTTCTAATTATACAATATTTTGTACCTCTATACAAACCTATAATTTAGCTAATAAAATATCTTTATCCCAACAGATATTTCACTATTTTGTAATAAATATAATTAAAATTAACAATTTTTAAATTAATAAATACATTATTTAAAATAATTAACAATTATATTTATTTCACAAAAATACAAATTAAAAAATATATAAAATATGTTAATATAATATACATAATAATAAATATTTTAAATAATTACATAATCATATTTACTGTTGTTTAATTATATATTTTATACAGATATTTTATTGCTATTATTACTTGGAAAAAAACATAATAAATTTTAGTAAGTTTAATTTGTTAAATAAGCGTCTGATGCTCAAGTTTAAATTGTATTGATAAAGTAGAAGAGAAGAAATGAAAATGAAGTAATAAACATTGTTGAAAGAATTTATAGTATTACAGGCAAGAGATTGTTGATTTATTTCAATAAGTTTGGAACTGGAATTTTTATTATGAGGTAAAATGTCCAAGGTTTAATAATAGGAAAAAACTAGGTGATATTTAAAATACAGCTTAAGCGTTATAATTTGATTATCATAGAATAATTAATGTAACACATAATATAAAGTTTTGGATAGAGATTCGGAAAATGTGATTCTTTGTAAGAGATAAAATAGGAAGAATTATTCTATAACATCAAAATGTTACTCCTAATTAAATATCCCTATATATGAGAACAATTTAGTGAATGTGCATGAAAAGAAAAATAATATCCCCTATTGGTTTTTATCCCTATTTATTATTGATATTCTGTTTTCTAATTAGTATGAGCGTTCGAAATATGAAAGATTATGAACCTCGTATATTATGAATTTTTTTTCCTTCATTGTTATTATTGTTATAATATTAGAGATATTTTTGTCAAGCTTATTAGATTTGATTATAAAAAAAGCTTTTTTTTTAGTTTGTGTTTAGATTTGAAAATGAATTTAGGAAAGTGAAAATGAGTGAATTTAAGTAAAAATAAAAAAAATAAAAGTGAGGTTTTGAATTAAAAAAACGTTGTGAAAAATAAAAAAAAATACAGAAAAATTTATAAATGATGTGGCTAGTTTAATAGATTAAAAAAATTATTGTTATGGATAAAATTATATGATTATAATTTTATTATTGTCTTAAAAAAATAATTTAAAATAAAAAATAATTTATGTAAATTATGCTAAAATAAAATGAGTTATTATATAAAATAGAAAATTTTAAATATATAAAATTAATTTCAAATAAATTTTAGATAATTATTTTAAATAAAATAAAATTGTAACATAAAATTATTTTAAATTATTAAAAAAATTATTTTGATAAAAATAAATAATATGTAATTATTTATGATAAAAATAATAAACTAAATATGAAAATTAATTATTTTTTAAATAAATTTTAAACACTCCTGCAATAAACAAAGCGTCAACCAGCAATGTGATTTACACATGCAACCGTTAAATGTTATTATAATTATTTTGTACAGACTGGTCTGTTTGAATTTAGTTAAACTTTGTTCCTATGTGTCTTATGAATTGAATAAATTAATTTTAAATTATTGGATTGAATCTTTAAAATGATTTTCATAATAAATTCTACGTAGTTTTTGTTTTTTATTTAAATGAATATGAAGAAAATTAATTGTAAATGCAAAAGAATGTTTCTTTTATCTAGAAAAATAGTACAACAAAATTATATTCGTAGAAAATGTCTTAATTTACTTTAAAAAAAAAAAAACACTTACCTAACAGCGCTATGTCAGAACGGCTACGAAGAAAGATATGGAAGTTCTGAATGTTTTTCCACGCCCAACGAGATGCCTTAACCTCGTGATACTTTACTCCTAACCCCACAAGGTTCTATGGAGTTTAACCTGAGTCTGGATTAAGAACGGTAATGATCTACGGCGCACAATTCTAGGGATAGTTTCATTCGACATGATGAAGGACATAACTTAAGATCATCTGCTTTGATCATATCACTAGATATTTTATTAGGAAATTGTCAAATTATCCGTATGCTGTTTTATAACTATATCCTGATCCTGAACTAACATGAGAGCTGCAGAAGGGTTTTTTCTATCAATATATGACTTTTTGCAAAATGATGTACCGTATGGAAGGTCTGAAATATATTATCTTGGGTCTATAAACCTCTTTGGATAGTTTATTGCCCTTTCGTAGTGGCTCTTGCTTCATAAGTTGCCAACATGGTTCGGGCTCCCTTCAGGTGAGGTCCTGTTTATATGCATGGACAGGTTTTTCTATCTTTTGGCGATGAATGGTCCCTTCTCATTATATTCAACATGCCATACATAATAACATATATTCATGTTTTTTACCTCTCACCATTCCTCCATGTTGGAAATAGTGTGCAACACTTGTAGAAGGGAGTGAACTTGAAAACCTGTCCAAGCATACAAAAGAGGACCCTATTGTTGACAGAGAGCCAGCAAAATCATTTTAGTATGATTTTTATTATTGTTAAGGAATAAAATCATCTTTTACCATCGTTGTTTTAATTTCGTTACTTTTCTACTAGATCACATTAATGTTTCATGATTTTTGGTAAAATCATTATTCATTATTTTGATGTCTCTTGGATGTTGATGCCTTAGCCTTATTAGTACAGGGTTTTGCCACTTTTGTGAGTTGAAGTAAGTAGTAAGAAGAATAAAAAAGAACTTTTGACAAGGGATTCACTGATAGTGTATGTAAGGGATTTAAATTGACAGAAAAAACACATTTGGTTACCTTATCCATAGTTCATAGTTTAGCAAGTGTTTGTCAAACAATTTGACTAAGGAATATCCTTGAAGAAGTTGATTTCAAACAATAAGAACCAACTCTTATTTATCGTGAAACTCAAGTATTGACTTGTCTGGAAATTCTGTCATGCATGAATAAACAAGTAAATATCCTTTTGTTGAGGGATGCTTCTCTTATATCTATCTCTAGTCTCTGAATATGAGAATCAACTATGTATTCTCTTATTATATCCTAGTCTCTGAAGATGAGAATCAACTATGTATCATCTATAACAAGAATTCAAAGGAAGATGTATAGAATATGCATACTCCCTGAATATAAATTGAACTTTTCAAAGTTTGAGTTTAAACAAGGAATTGTACAAGTTAAACTATTACCTTCATTCTATAAGTATTAGTTTCTAACTGTTAGGCACGTTATAAGTCATGGATAGTCTACTCTATTCATCTTGTTTGCTTAATTTTAGGAATCAATTAGAATACTTGTTTGTTATTATTATTATTTTTTGGTTTGTTTCTTATACAATGTATGTATATTTAAATAGGCTTCGTTAATAAATAATGCAGTATATATATATTTTCTCCCAATTATTCTGGTATGCGTTTTATTCTACACTTTTCTTATCATTATTCATTTCATCGCTTTTGTGCAAAATATACTTACTGTGAAGTAACTTTCTTTACATCGACGCTAATTTTCCGAGCAAATTAAAATAATGAATCGCATCACATGTAATAAAACATAAGAAAACTCTGATCGTTGTGTTATTGAGACATGCATAATAGTACATGATAGCATAAAAAAAGAGTATGTAGTTGACACATTAAAAACCTAAAATCCACGGAAACGACATAACACACAGTTGAAATCCGATTGGTCCAGAAGAACAGGAAGCACAACAGTATTAATTTGCTTCAAGAAGGAGGAGCAACACTCTTACCCTTGACATTGCCAGCGTCAGAATGTGGTGGGTGCATCCGCGAAGAAGAAGCAGCATGGGGGGAAGTAGGTTCCCAAGACGGAAAAGGATCCGGAGAGCTAAGATCAACATCATCAACGGTGACAGAGGGACCGTCATATCTGGGACTCAGCTTTCGCACAACCTCAGGGCCCAAGTATTGGGCCAGTTCCCTTTGGGCCTTCTCCAGCTTCTCTTTCAGGATTCGGAGATTCTCCTCCTGCTCCCGTATCACCCCCACGCACCCGTGCACCGGGTCCCTCACACGCGCCTCCGCCTGGTACGCCAGCGCCCTTACCACCCACATTCGCATCTCCAGCTTCGTTGACTTCAGAATGTTGCTTACGTTGCCCCCGCCGAACACGTGGTGCACGTACGCGAACTGCTGAATATTCTCCGCCGGGAAATATGGCGCCAGCAGGCAGTACTGCCCACACCTCCGTCTTTGGTACTTGCACGCGCCGCACGGAGTCATGCCTTGTGCTATACTTACAGATTGTTCGACTCAAATACATGGACGCATGTAATGATGATATTAATATTTAGGTTTAATTATATTTTTAATTTTTGAATAATTTTTTAAGCTTTTTAAATTAAAAAGTTTTTAAAAATTTTAATGTATCCAATAAACAGGAAGAGTAAAGAAAAATAATTAAAATAAAAAACGAAACCATCCAGTGGATTGTGAAAGAGTTTAGTATGGTGTGAGTTGAGGTATTAATTTGGGTTGTAAGTTTGAGTCTATTAGCATGGTTCGAGTTAGGTTAATTTTTTATTATTATTTTAATTATAATCAAAGTTAAGTCTGTTTGAGTTGGATTGGTGGAAAGTTAATTTTTTAAATTTATATATAAGTGTAAATATTTTTAAAGAAAATTTTATTTTAATGATCAACTCATCCAATTCCTTTGTTTTAGTGAGTTAATTCATAAAACTTATCTATTTTAAGAATTTAAAAAGATAAAAAATAGTAATAAAATATATATTTAAATAAGTTAATCTATTTAACTCATTATCTTATAGATGGAATTGGATTATAAAATAATGAATTGATCTATTTTGAATCTAACTCATGGGAAGTTAATGATGTCAACTTGAGACCTCTGAGAGTTGAGGATTAGAATTTTCACAATTCTTCTTCAAAGTGTTCTTATTCTTTCTTATGTATTGTATTTAGAGAATGCCACTTTTGTCATAAAATATACAAATATTGAATATTGATTGGTTAGACATGAAATAAATAAGCATTTACTAATTCAAAATTATTCAGAAGTGGTATACTTAAATCAAATTCTATTTAATATTTCTCCATATCAGATGTATCTAATTAACTATAATGGGAAACTTATTAATAATAAATTATTAATTTAATATGATGCAAAGTATTTATTATTAAATATTTAAAGAAACTATATAGAGTAAGAAGAAACTGATTAGATCTAAAATAAATTTTGAATACTTATTAATTGTGCAATATTTCTCGTAATCATATATATATATATATATATATATATATATATATATATATATATATATATATATATATATATATATATATATCAATTTTTTAATGGATTAGGCGCTTATAATTATGTGATCTTTATGGTAGTAAATAATCATTTATGTTTTCACACGAATATTAAATACTAAAATAAAATTAATTGGTAAATTGTAAAATTTAAAATTTATAAACTATCTATTAGCATAAAAATTTCCGTAGTTAGATTGATAAATTTTAAATTTTAAAAAATCAATCAAAGGAAATATAATATGATTTATTATAAAAAAATAAAATTCCTCACAATAAAAAAAATATCCATTATCTTTCTTTCCAAAAGTGTATAATATTAATCCCTTATTTAGTGCACGTGCGCTAAATATGAAGTTGTTGATTTAAAATAAAATCTGTAAATAATTTCAAGTTCAAATCAAGAAATGTGTTAAATATTTAAAGAAAAAAATTCTTAAAAACAAAATTTAGTTAAAATTTAAAAACAAAATTATATTTCACGCAGAATAATTGTGTACTAGCATGTAGTAAATGTTGCTAAACTTTTTAATTCAAATGGTATATTATTTATTATTGAATTATGACATTAAAAGGACCGGAATATATAGACATCGGATATATATACATGTGTCTTGCATTTAGATATGACAGCGGGATAGGGTGAGTTTTTCCTCCGGCTCTTTCTCTTATTTTATTTTTTTAATCATTTTTTTATCTTGAATTAGAAATTAATTTTTTTTTTTAGGTTTTGGTTTTTCAATCTCGTCTCGTCTCAGTTTGTTCCGCCTCTAATTTATATTATTTTTTAAAAACTAATTATATTTATAATAAATAAATTTTATTATTTTTATGTATTTTTTTTACATAAATAAATATTTATAATTTGTAATTATTATTAATTAAATATATTTTTTAGTTTATTATATTTATATTAAAATATTTATATAATATATAGTTTATAAGAAAATATTTAATAAGTTAGTTCTTATTTAATTAATTTAAAGTAGTAAAAATTTAAATTTTTAATTTTTAATTTTTTAAAATATAATTATTTTATTAAAATAAAATTCGATATATAATAAATAAGAATAATAAAATTCAAAAATATGACATAATAAAATTTAATAAAGATAAATTATAAATAAAATAATATTAGTTACTACTAATATTTGTGTAAAATATTAAAAAAAAAAGATAAAGAATAAAAAGAATTAATTTTGTGTTTGTGGTTGAAAAATTTGAAAAAAAAAACAAAATGATTGAAAGGATTAAAAAAATGTGAAAAATTAAAAGATAAGAGAAAGAAAATAATGTAATTAACTAATTGATATAAAAGATTAAAAAAAATAAAAGAATTAAAAAGTGGGTAAAAAAGAAGTAATAATGATAAAATATAAAAAAAATCACCTTCTATGTAATAAAAAAATGAAATATTTTTAAAATAAAAATTTAAATATAAAGTAAAAGCGGGAACGAGATCAGGGTGAAGATTGTATTACTTATCTCTATCTTCAATTTTTTAAAACGAGAAAAACTTGAATTTGTCTTCGTCCTCATTCAACTTGATTTTTCTTCGTTAAACTCAGAACGATGACGGAAATGTCTTCCTTGAATTTCTTTAAAATAGAAAAAATAAAAATGCTTCTATCTTGTGATATATTTTATTCAAAATTTCAGTTTATGATTGTTATACTTTAGTTAAATAATGCATTCAATAAACTAATTAAGTTAAAGATAATGAGCAAGAAAGACATTTATTTTAAAAGTATTATGTAATAAAATTAAAAAAATCAGTTTTTTCCTAATAGTTTCTAAGTAAATTCTTCATCCTTACAACTTAAAGGATGAATTTGCTTACTGACTTTCATATAAAAAGTTCATCGTCGAATGTATTTAATATATAGTTTTTATAATAATAAAATTACAAATTGAATAATGGAATAATGACTTGCCAAAAAAACAACTAATTTCGGACATAAATTTTCGAAATAAAAAAAAATCAAGTAGGTACACTAAATAATTTTTTTTAATAAAAGTACAAAATATTAGCTGAAAATGACAGTGTACATTTTTTTTATGTTATTAGTCTTTTTTTTTTACTTTTACTTGATAATATTACTAAATTTTTTTAAAAATAAAATATAAATTTAATTTTTATACGTTATCATAAAAAAAATTAATAACAAAACCAATTGTATGAAAAATGAAAGCATGTCAAATAAATAATTATCACGTTACGTTAATTATTCACGCCAAAATATTCATAAAAGCAATTCAATATTTAACAAAATTTATTAATATTTAAACGGAAATAATTATAATATATATATCAGTCATATTTTTTAGATGTTACTAAAAATAAAAATTGCGATAAAAATAATATTATATCCAATAACTAATGTTTTAACGAAGCGAAGGCAAGATTGAATATACACAGAGGTACTGACTAGCATGATGTATATTTAGAAAAGTTATTGGGAAAAATAAAATTTACATTTGTATTTCTACAAGTTAAAATTAATTTATGTATAAGTTAATTTATAAAAAAATTCTCAGGTAATTAAAAAAAATGTAGAAATTAATTTAAATTTGTAATCTTTTAGAAGTTTTTAAATAGAAAAGTGTGCAAAGCATAGTGTTAAACGTGTTCTGTCATTCGTTATTGATTATATCAAGTTACTATTCATTAAAGTGAAGCAAATCTAAAGTGAATATCGTGCTTTCGTTCGTTTAAGTATTCAGGAATGAATAAAATCAAGGAAAAAATTGCAAACTCCCCCATTTAAGTACCTCCTTCTCCAAATGCACAAAAAACTAAAACATTTTGTGTACAGTAAGTATCCTGTTTAAAACATTTCAACCTTCCAACATTAATACAACATGTAACAAAGCTAGAAAATGAGACCGTCACTCTCTGGTTATGCCAATCATTTTCAATTACATTAAAAAAAAAACCACTGAGATATAATCAGTTCTAATCAGCTTCCGGAGACCGTGACCCATGAGTCCGCCCTCCCTCCGTACCATTTGTAAAATGAAACGGATGATAAATAATTATTTTGTTGTTATCCCTTACATCTTAGGGGAATTAACTGCACACAGCATACTTAACATAATTCAGAAACAATGATAAATTTAGATAGTTATGTGTACTCACGTGGTATTATCGAACTCTATATTCATTTAGTTATAACAAATATTTATTATATAATTTTTTTCATATTTTATGTATGTTTTCATTACTAAACTCTATGTTTTCTATTAACCATAAATTGGTCAAATTTGTATCTTGTCAACATGAGTTACAGCCATATAATTGCTATCTAATCAATAAACCATTTACAATTACAGGAGATGAAGATAATAGAATGAATAAGAGGAAGCTAATAAATGAATAGGATGAACATCACACAAAGCCTTAATTAAAAGCTATCTAAATTCAGATTTACAATTCTGTTTAAGAAAAAACAGAGATAAATATACTGTTGCTTCTAGATTCTAGAAAGGAAAAAAAGAAAGAAGTTTTCAACTATCTGTGAGATCGTAGTTTTAAAAATGTGAGCACCTTTAAAACCTTCCATGTAGCAAAAAACATGATACGAAGGATTATGAATCTCTCGTATACGCTTTACTGCACATCCTCTCTATCTGTATATCCATCTGAAAATTCTTCAGCAACATGCCGGAAGCTGAAGCTAAAAGCAAGAACAGCTGAAGATGGCCAAACACGATGTCATTGATTATCAAGCAATTTCAATATAAAGAAAGGAATTGAATAGCAGCTGAAATTTATGTAACCCTCATGTGATACAGCAATTTCAGACATGTTTATCCTTTCTATTCTGATTGGACAAATAAAGAGTACTGTGTTCATCAGTTACATAATTAAGAACAATTCAACATTATTTTTCTCCAAGGCATCTTTATTATTGATGTTGCTCAACTTACTCATTTATAGTAGAAGATGAAATTCTAAATCACATTTCAACTCCAATAAGTTTACACACGAGTACATTTGAATGCAATAAAAAACTCGATTCCATCCGAAAACTTGTACATCTGTCACCAACAAGCATCCTTGTACTGGCCAAAGCCATTTCGATGAGACAAAAACATAGACTTGTTTGAAAGAGAGGATATTATGGCAAATCAAGATTATAGTGTGTTATAACTATGAGTTTTATTGAACATGCAGAAGGAGTGTATGTTAGGAGTCCAATTTATGGATCGCACAGAAGGAGACAAAACCCGTTGAATCGACATTGGATTTTGCATTTTATCCCAGCTTTCGGTTGGCACGTCATTTTTTCAAACTCTCTTTGATAGAATTCAAAGCATATAGTAATTTGATTAGGTGAGGACAATCATATCGCAATTGACGCCAATAATATTGATAAAAAAAAAGGGTGGTGATTAATGGAAACCCTCAAATTACAAAACATCCATCCTACATTCATTTTATATTATATTTTATCATAAAACTATTTTTTTTATTTAATTAAAAAAAATGGTGATGCATGGTTGTTGAAAAGATATTTCAAAATTTGCTGGTGCCCACATAACTTTTCGCAAATTAAAAAACATAAATTTGAGTTTAGAACGTCTCCTCCTTTATTATGGGACAAATTTAACAACACTCTTGTCAGTAAGTGTTTTAAGAATACCAGTTAAGTTAATAAATAAAGAGTTTCCATTGAAATATTCACAAGTACTTGTAACGCACATGTTGATATTATTTCATACTTTTTTTTTCTTTTGTTGTGAATTAAGTGACAAATCTTTAAACTATTTCCAACAATATTCATATATTTACTATGGTTCTGGCTCTTATGTTTAATGGTCATTGAGTTGATCTAGCTTGTATCTCATTCCAAGATGTTTCTAGTTAATGAAATTTGCTATGATTTAAATGAACTAACTTTTTCATAACTCCCATAAATCCTTCTAAGAAAAAAAAAGAGAAAATTGAATTCAATTTGATGAACTAAAAGTATAGCCTATCTACAAGTTGAAAATATAAAGTTAGATAATTTATACAGGAAAATTTTACGAACTTTTACAAGTTTTATATCTATATAAAAGAGTTTATGGAAAAATTCGTAAAAAACATTATGATACCAAATTTCATTCACTGTAAATCTAGGAAATGAGATACAAGCTAGATCAATTCAATGATTATGACCATTAACAATAAAATCCAAGAAAATATTAAAGATATGAATATTGTTGGAAATAGTTGAAAGATCTGTCACTTATTTCACCTCTAAAAAACAAAACAATCTAATTACAACTATAAATATTAATTAATATTATATTAAATATTATTATTATTAAAATGATTGTGAAACAAATTTTTCCCTTTCTAAATGTATTTTTACTTATTATGGCAGTAAGATTCTTTTGTCATGAATCTCACAAGTTATAATATATGTTAATCACTAACAAACAATCAATTAAAAAACTAGCTTTTCTAGCATTCTTCTTGGCGTGGAAGGAAAGTGAAGCAAAGAAAACGTGGAAAAAGTCAAGATAAAGGTTGACGTACACCTTAGGGTTAAAACTTGGAAAGAGACAGATAAGATAAAAAAAATATATGGAATATATGTGATTAATATGAATAATAATGTATTGCTATAGAAAAGAGAAAAATATTGAAAAGGGTTTACATATGAGAGCTACCATAATACAAGAGAAATCTAAGGATTTTGACGAAGTTAATTTTTTACCAAACATAAAAAAGAGGGAGTGAGAAAAAGAACTTTGTTAAATGAAAACCCATACTAACACATCTAAATTTGTGTTCATTCTTACGCAATATATAAACCAAAAATCTAATTAAGGAGAAAACCAAGTACCTTGTTTGAGCAGAGTTGAACTTTAAGAAAGTGAGAAATGGACACCATAACTACTTGATTGAGAAATCAAGCACATTCCTTATCCTCACTTTCACACTGTTGTTGCTGATGGGGCTGCACCTGCTGTGGCGAGAGGAGCAACTGTGCCTCAATGGGATGTGGATCTCCTTGCTGCTGCATCTGGTAAGCTCCAACATTACCAAAATTTCCAAGTGCCAAAGAAGGAGACAACAATTCTGCTTGGTTCCCAAATCCACCATTACTAGGTTCAAAACCACCAAACTCTTGTTGCTCATAGTTTCTAAACATCTGTTGCTGCTCCCTAGTTGCAAGAACCATCTGCTGAGCTTCTTGAAAATCCTGCTGCTGAGGGTCGCGAACCACCGTCTGGCCACCGCCATGGCCAACCAAAATCTGCGGCGGCGCCATGTTGTTGCCACCATGATTGAACATAGATTGATGCAGATGAGGCACGACAACCTCGGCAGGAGGTAACATCCCTGGATTGGCCAATAGAATCTGCATAGTCTGAGGACTAACATAAGTGGAGAATTCCTTCTTCGCGCTTTGAAGCTCCATTTGGATTTGACGGAGCCGTTGCTGTAGCAAAGAAATTAATCCCACGCAGCCATACACGGGGTCACGCAATCGCGCCTCCGCCTCATACACCAGTGACTTAACGGCATCGTCGCGCTGCGCCACGCTGAGCTCGTTCAGCAGCTTCGACACGTTGCTCGCGCCGAACACGCGGTGCACGCACTCGAACCGTTGCGGATTGTCTGGCGGAAAGTACGGCGCGAACACGCACTCCTGCGTGCACTTCCGCCGCAGAAGCTTGCACGCGGCGCACGGTGAATTCAACGACGACATATTCCCTAACCTCCCTTCCTCTCCCTTCACCGTCACCTGAACAAACCACGTCAATGATTATTCATTTCATAATGATAATAACCACAACAATTGCTGTGATTGTTATTAATCATTACTTAAAAAATAAATAATTAATGATTATTCATTTCTTGATGATTGGTTTCTCAAACGAATAGAGGGATCAAAAGCGAACGATTATAGGAATAGTTAACCTATAACAGGAATAGGTTATTAAGCTAATAGCGTGTATGCATTTAAATTGATTAACACCGTGATAAATGATAATGATGATGATGACGATGCATTAACGATTAATTGATTTTTCAAGTGAGGTTCACAAACCGATTTTTGATTTCAGATTTAAGAAATGAGAGAACAAATTAAAATAATCAGGCATCATGAAAATAAAATATGATGACATTTCAGATTTAAAACTTCCTTTTTTTATCGTGAAAAGTTGCAGAGTAATGAATGATAAAGGCAATGGAGGAAGAAGAATAGAAGTTACCGAGGTGTGAGATGGAGACTTGAGCCTGGAAGAGAATTTTTCACGTTGGTTGAGGCTGAAAAGGAGGAATGTGAATAAAACGAGAGAGGAAGAGACGATTGTAGTTATTTCAATTTTCAGCGCTGCCACCACAAGCAACCCTTCTTTGATGATGCTATATGATTCTTTCAGTCCATATTTGGTTATTTATATATAATTATTATAATTATTTAATTTGATACATATTACAGCGGAATGGTTATTAAGAGAAAATATAAACAAAAATTTATGGACCTTTTGGCCCACTAAGTTGAGAAACCAAACCAAGCATGTAGGCCCGATTGTTAATCTTCTTTAAACTTTCCTCATTTTATTTCTAAGTATCTAAATAATATCTACGATTCTTCTTTATCTTTTTTTTATTAAATTATATTCTATAATAAAAGTTCAATTATACTCTCGCGTTATCGATGAAAACGTGGAACTGTGTGCTATTTAATCTACTAAATTAATTGTATAATCCATTAAGATTCTATAATGGAAATAATAGATTAAGGAAATATTTTGTATAATCCATTTATATAGAGTTTACAAGAATAAATATATTTTTATCCCTGTATTTTTTTGTCAAAATTATTTTTTGTCCTTATAAGGGGCTACAAAATATTTTCACATAAAAATCACAGTATTTACTTTGCATTAAATATTGATAATTAACTTTTGAACTTTTAAAAAATATATAAATTGAAACATTTTAACAATTTTATTATGATAAAAAATACTAATTATTAAATTTAGATTATAAAAAATACTAAATAACATGTAATTATTTGATCAATTTTATTCAAGTAAAAAAATATCCGTAAATGTTAATTTAAGTATTAAGAAGGATTAAATCATTTTTTTCTAGTTTAAAGACCTGACTTGTGAATTTAAATACAGGAACAAGAAATAAAAAAAAACAAATATTTTTTTTTAATTTTAATCATCATTTTTAATCTTTATAAAATGTGTGAATTTTGACTTTAATCCCATTAAAATATTTTTTTATTTTTATCTCACGAAATATTTTAAATAACTTTACGGTAGATAAATAACTTTCTTTTACAGATTTAAGAAATTTTAAATAAATGACTTATATCAACATTTTATTATATCATTAATAAGCTTCATTTCGAATAATCATTCAACATTTTATTTAATATACATAGGAGTAATTATTAGTAATATATATATATATATATATATATATATATATATATATATATATGTGTGTGTGTGTGTGTGTGTGTGGTGTTAAAGCTTTAAGTTTCAATTAATTTTATACATATTATTCATGTATATATTTTTTCCCTTGAAAATATGATTCCATGTATTTTCAATTCGTACAAAAGTATTGCTTAGTTTAAAATATGTAACATTGTCCAACAATTTTTTTTACTTATTATTACATTAATTAGTTTAATACGAAAATATAAAAAAATAAAAACTTATAAGGTAAAAATATATTTTAAATTTACGTAATTATATCTTGTTAGATAGATATTAAATAATATATTTATTATTTAATATATATATATATATATATATATATATAGGGTAATTATGTATATTATATAAATAAGGTAATTATATTTTGCTAGACACTGAATATTGTTGGATTAAATATCTTACTATATTTTAAACTTAAATGTCAAATATATGTAGGAAAACTTAAATGTTCGACAATCTATATATTCTAACCATCAAATAAAATTTTAAACCTTACCGTAGTTGTTGGGTATTTCAAGAAAACTTTAATATTTGATAATAATTTATCAAAAAATTGAATTTTTAATATAACTTATTTCATTGAATAATAACTAACATTAATAAATATTTCATTTGGACACTTCAATGCTATTTATATAGATTTTGTATACTACTTAAAAACATGTTTATAATTTTGAACATATTTATCTAAATTTTTTATTGAATAAATAAATGTAAAGAATATTTTTTATTCAATATATATATATATATATATATATATATATATATATATATATATATATATATATATAATGAACAAATGGTTCAAACTTTCAATTCATACAATTTGAAAAAACAAATCTACACATCTATAAATTAAAAAAAAATCTTCGTAGTTTTTTATATTTATTAAAAAGAGTAATGTAATAGATTTAACTTAGTTCATTTTTAATTAAAAATTAAATTTAATAAATAATAAATATATACCATAATTTCCTTTGTTCTTTTACTCAAAATATAAAATTTCATGACAATCAATTAAAAACATGAGTATTTAAAATCCAACCGATAAAAAAAGTTCATAAATCTATTTATAAAAATTGAAAAACCATAAATTTTATTAAATTTGTTATCTATTTTTTAAAAACTAAACAATTTGTATTAGAATTTAAATTAAAAATTAAGAATTAAATTAAATCAAACTAAATTGTATATTTTATTTAAATATAATATTATATATTTAATAATAATTATCAATTAATAATGTACTTAAAATTTAATTCTTTTATTTTCAATATATTTATGTTTAATAAAAATATAATAATAAGTTTAATTTGTAATTTTTTAATATGATTATAAAATTTATTTGTATATTTAAAATAGGGTTAAGTATGATTTTAGTCCTTGTATTTTCACGTGAAATTGAAAATAATCTCTACATTACAGTTCACATAAAAATGATTCCTATACTTTTAAAATGATTGAAATAGGTCCATATTTTAAATGACGCTAAGTATATGTTGACTGTCTAACATGAAATAGTACGAATTATTTGACACATGTAATTATTTTAAAAAATAAAATTAAAAGGTATCAACCTTTTAAAAGTCATTTAAATCCGCATTTATAATATTTAAAAGTCATTTAAAAAGAAATTTAAACTTCTCTGTCATTTATAAGCTATTTAAACTTCTCTACCTTAATTTTCAGAAATGAAAACCCTAGCTATGGTATACTACCGTCGCACATTGCCGTTGTGCACCACTGTCACATTGTCAGTCGAACCACAACGAACCGATGGAACCCTCGAACTTCAAAGTCACTTTGACTTCATACAACCTTTAGAGAGAAAGGAAAAAAAACAAGATCTTTGGTGTGTGACGAGAAAAGAAGAGAGAACGAAAATGAGCTGTAATGAGAAAACGATAACAGAAGAGCTTTAGTGCGTGAGGAGAAAAAAAAATTTATACTTTTTAATTTTGATTTTTTTAAATAATAATCTCTATTGAATAATTTCTATTTTTTTGAAAAGGGCTTTGTTTTTTTTTTTAATAATTACACGTGTCAAATAATGATTGGGTCATACTATGCCTGTTAGACAAGTCACCCTATATTTAACGTCGTTTAAAATAGGGACCAATTTCAATAATTTCAAAAGTATAAAATATAATTTTTATTTGAACTTTAACAGATAAACTATTTTCAATTTCACATGAAAATACATGGACTAAAAACATACTTAACCCTTTAAAATATTTCAATTTATTATCATAACCATAGGTATATAATTTTTTCCAGCAACAACTTGTAAAATATTGGTAACATTGAAGTAAGTAAAAATTAATGAATTTGTTATCCTATATATATATATATATATATATATATATATATATATATATATATATATATATATATATATATATATATATATATATTTAAATGATGAATGCCAGTGAAAAGGTATTTATGTGACTGGAAAATTTTATGATAAATAAAAAATAACATCTCAATATCTTTAATTTTTATTTTCAATATTAATGAGCATTTATTTAATACATAAAACAAGATTAATGTCAGTCATTATGTATATAAGAAAATAAATATTATTTCAATTTACCTCCCCGACTTATAAAAGCAATTGGCTCTAAAAAAAGTTAAAATGATAACTTTCTTTTAATGCCATGGCAGACAAAGTTATAATAAATAAATTTGTGAAGATGTTTATATTATTGAAATATAATTATGTGTAATATGTGTTTGAAGCAATTCTAAATGTATCTCTCCATCTCATCAACACATCAAATGCATATAATTTAAAAATCTTAATTTTATTTAAAACAACATTTTATCATTTAAGAATTAGTTAACAATTTGTGTTTAACTTTAATGTAATTGTTTTAAATGCACTAATGAATACAAATTTGACATTTTCTTCATGAGTTATTGTATTTATTTGTACACTCCATATTTAATGAGAAAGACAATAGTACTCGTGTAAATTATAAATTTAAAATAAATTATTTAAAGAATTTAGGAAATTGGAAATGAAAAATATATAGTAACATTTCAAATTAATGAATAAAAAAATGTACAGATTGAAGTATGTTAATATCGATTTATTAATGGAAAATTTTCTTATAATTTTTGGAATAATAGGAGAGAAAAGAATAAAAATATTATAGTAAAACTTAAAAACCAGTCATTAAAAAAAAAAACTGATGAAAAATGAAGATAAATAAAATAATAAAATAAGGTTTAATTTAACTAGGGGTGCAGGAAGAAATAACTCCTCCAACAGACTCTGAAACTTAACGAGGTCCCAACTAAACTAAGGGCGTAGGCCCATTTAATAAAAAGTCCAAAGTCTAAAACCCCTAGTCACAAAACCCCATTTCGCCTCGCAGGGACGACATAGACAAAACCATCATGACGCACTGGTGGCGCTCCGCCGCCGGCCACCTCCGAACGGTGGCGGTGAGCCGTTTTTCCTCGTCGGTATTCCGGCGCAGCCATTACCATACGATTCAAGCCATCCCAAGGGAGTGCACTGGCAGCAAAGTCTCAGCGAGAGACCGAATGCAAGGTCGAATACCTGCCGTCGTTTTCTTCCAGAACCTTCTTGATAAAAATCTCGACGGTCGATCGCAATCGAAGAAGCACTTGCTCACCGTCGAAAAGAAGCAGATTAAGGCCATTCTCAATTCCTTCGACGTCCCTTACTTCTGCTCCACCCGCTTCCCGCTCCAGATCCGTGCCGGATCCGGGTCCTCTCATTTGGTTGAATCCGGAACCGTGTTACCTATCAAGGTTTTCTTCTCTCTTATTTTTCTTATAACTTTTATATTTGACTTGAGTTCTGAGTTGTGGCTTTTGGTTATCTAGATTCATAAGGACGAAGAGAGTGGGCAGATTCTGAATTTGGTCTTTGTTTGGGCTGAGGACGGAATGAAATTGAAGGTGGATGTGCCTGTTGTTTTCAAAGGGGAGGATGTTTGTACTGGTATTCAGAAAGGTAACCCTTGTGATTTGATTGCTCTGGAACTCGTAGTTACGCTTTCAATAGATATTCAGGAATGATGAAATATGCAATGCATGAAGAAATGACCCTTATGTGGAACTCTCTAAGCTTTAGTAATAAGTACTAATAATCCTCTGTATGCCTTATGTAGAGATTTCTCAGCAGAGAGACATGGTTTTACTGAAATGTTTAATTTTTAGTTTAATTTCATCTCAGTATAAAACTTTTTGTAATATGAACTGATGAGAAGTGATTTTGTGACTTTTAAAGTAGTTATTAGAAAATCCATCAATCTTAGTAGACACGGTGAAGGATGATAGTGTATCCTTTACACTGTCCGTGTATTTAAATTAAACTATATTGCTTTTCCTCAAGGAGAAAAATAGCAATTAAGTTAGAAAATATTGCCAAACATTAAACTGTCTGTGAATGTGATTTTATCTTTGAAACAAAAAGGTATTATCCAACTAGGTGAGCTTGGCTACATGGATGATGGATCGCACAATTACATTCGGCACAGTTAAAATTCAAACCTTCTGGGATATTATTTAGCTTAAGATCTCCCTGGACTGCTTTCTCAGATGTCTGTTTTGTCTCCCTCTCTTGCTTTTTATAGGACTAAAATAATGTGATCTGTTCTAATGATTTTTGCTAATTTTGGCCTTTTTCCTCAATTGGTGCTACACCAACCTTTTTTGTATTAATCATTTTTATTCTGGTCACAGATCCATCTTAATATTCTCATTTTTGTTACTCTCACCTTTCTCTCATGTAATCCCTTTAAAACCCATCAATACACACTTGATAAAACTTACCTTTGAGTTTCTTAAGTACTCTATGATCACAAATAGCACTTTATATCTTTCTCCATTTTAGTCATTCTACTTGTATTGTGTGTGTTGCCTCATTAATTTTTCCATCATTTTGTATGATTGATCCCAGCTATTTAAACTTAGAAAATGTTGTATGACATTTCTCCCATTTCACTTCCGAGTCATAGTCCTCATCCTACTAAAATTTTAACGTATATGCTCTGTTTTAGGCCTACTTCTTTGAAAACCTTGTATTTCAAAGTTTGTCTTCAAAGTTCAAGCTTAATATTAATTGTTTCCCTTGATTTCGCAATTGATTATATCATCCGGAAAAAACATGCAACTAGGGATAATCTTTTGTATGTCCATGATAAACACACCTAAGACTAGATTAGACAGTTAAGAACTTAGGCTAAACCTTGATGTAACGCTATCTCGATTGGAAATTTCTTAGGCACCTCCTGAAGTTTTTACACTAGTGGCTATCCTGTAATACATGTCTTGTATAGCTCAGATATACGTCATCACCTTTTTCTCTAAAGTGTTATGCAACAGTTCTCTTGGTACTCAATAATAAGCATTTTTAAATTAATAAAAATTGTAACTCTACCTTTATATCAACTTCCATAAAAGATAAATGACTTTTGTTGTTGGCATTCTTGATATAATATTAAATTGATTATTGGCAATCCTTATTTCTTTTAATATATGCTTGATCCATCACCTTTCCCATAAACCAAATTTATAACTGATGTTAACTACTCTCCAATTTTTGTATGAGAACTGTTGTTGGAAGTATGGTGCTCATACTTATCAAATTATCAAATAATTTGCTAATTCGAAAGTTATTTTGCATTAAGCAAAATGGCAGAGATTTCTTTGATAGCTTAAAAAGTATGTAACCTTTTATTCTTTGAAAAAAAATTTGGCATAACTGGCTAAGAATGCGTACATCTATATAAGCATTCATATTAATTGTTTGTTATAATTTTTTATATTGTATGAAATGTTTTTGTCTGTGACTATCCTGCTGATAGACTTCCTTCTCTCTCTCTCTCTCTCTCTCTCTCTCTCTGTCTATATATATATATACACACACACACACACATATATTATTGTTTTTTGTTTTTTGTTGTTTGTGGACATGTCTTTCTTCGCCAACGTGGCAGTTGAAGATCATTCATCATTCTCAATATTTGTGATTAAATATCTTATGAAGGGTGTCGATGTTTAAGTAGTATTTCTATCCTTTTGTTCTCATGCACTTCTATTTTTCCTGTGGTGGACCGAGAAAAGTAACAGCCCAGAGGCTATATAACTACTATTACACTGTTTCACCTGCATTTACTGTTTCTTCTTTGAATGGTCAATCTTTCCAGAAAAATAATTTCAGTTTAGAAAACAAGGAAAAAACTGGTGGAAGAATAGGTGACTACAAACTCGTTATTAATTACTTTACATCTTTTTGTGAAGTATTGTTTTGACAGTATATATTGAAGATCAGTTTTCAGCCTTCCCGCTTTCAATGGTCGATGACTTTGCTCGTTATGCCTTGGGAAGACTGCTGTTATGTTTGGTCAATTGACTTACATTCTATGCTTTGTTAAAATTTGCCGCTGTCTAACTTCTGACATCAAAATTCATTATTCGTGCCAAGTGCTCTGTATATGTCATTATTTTTGGAGGGTGGCAAGGGGCGGTTGCCAATATTGTCCAATTTAATACCAGTAGGAATTTTGTGGTTCTAATGTTATAGTGCTAACATGGTTGAGACTTTTATGCTATTACAGGAGGATTTTTGAACAAGATCAGACCTAGTCTAAAATACCTTGGCCCGTCTGAGCACATTCCTTCAAAAATTGTTGTGGATGTGAGCAATCTAGATATTGAAGATAGAATATTCATTCGTGACATTGAGGTTCACCCATCCTTGAAGCTTCTCAGTAAGAATGAAAACATGCCCATATGTAAAGTAGTTCCAATAAGTTTGGGAAACAAAGAACCTATCGTGGAGTGATCACTGTAGATGAGTACAAGCACATTGGGAAAAATGGGGAACACATGCAATTTCCAAATAAGAAGGGCTAACACCGTAATTTGGTGATGTTTTGTAGCATTAACGAGTACAAGCACCTAAGATATTGTAACTATTTTTTGTGTCAGACATCATTGACGTTTCAATGTAGTGTTTATTTTTAATGGGTTAAATATTCAAGTTCTTGAACACAACTAGGGATATATTAATTTAAGCACGCATCGATTGCACCGTTTGCAAGTCGCATGTCTTACAGTATAATATTTTGGAAGCACAAATATAGATTCACTGAATTTACCTTATAAGTATTTCCTTCGTAAATTATCTCAGAAGTTAAAATATTCGGTCTGCATGAGAATTGGTCTCGTTAAATTCTTAAGTTAGAAATAGTGATAGTTAAAAATATTCCGTCCGCATGAGAAATGGTCTCGTTAGATTTTGACATATCTAATGGCTTTCTGTTGTTTGAGCATTCAACTTTCATCTTCAAGATTTTGATTTTTTTTTTTTTTTCTTTGTGTCGTCTTTCCTTTTCACTTTGTAGTCTTAAGTTGAAATTCTTCCGGTCAGCTGCATAACCATCGATTTATTGCGTCCTTAAAACACTTGGCACTGTACTTCGCCACTAGTCTAAAAATAAAAAGCTACGAATCAAAATTGACAAATTCTCTTAAGATAAGTATATAGTTTAAGAAAGAAAGAAAAATTAATAAATTAGAAAGTGAGTCGGTAATTTTTAGCAGGTTACAAAAATGTATATTTTTTTTAAGTGTAAAGAGATTCATTTATTTATTTTGAGAGTAAGTGTAAGGAACGATGAAAATGAATCTAACTCACGCTCTTCCTTTTCATAGGTTCATGATCAACATTTTTGAAAGGTCAATCCATTCTAGAATCATTTATTAAAATCAATAGATTTTTAAATCTTTTGTTTGAAAAAAAAAACTTTTATAAAAAATATTATTTATAATAACTACTTATTATCATTATTTTTTATATTTTTTTAACTATAATATTAGAGAGAATATGATTTTAAATACAATGCTTTATATTGAAAAAAGAGTGTTCATTGAGATAATATATGTTTTTAAGAAAATCAAAGAAAAGAAAGGCAATAGCTTTCTTCATTGGGTGCGAAAAAAATTATAAAATGTAATAAATAAAAATGATAGTGAAATAAATAGTAACATATGACAATTTTGAAAAGTTTTCTTCTACACTTTTTCAAATAACGAAAATGTGTCACCGCCATATGTTCATTTCAATCCTTTCATATCAATTCTGTTGTGTTTGGATATCTGTTCAAAGCCTTCTAATGGAATAACCCTTCTTCCCAAATTAAAACGGAGAAATAATAAGAGATAAATTGACATTTCTATCCACGTTTTATTGAACCCCATTGAATTTCCACAAACACTTCATCTCTCATCCATCGCTACAAACAAACAGACAAAGCATTAGCAACTTCATGTTTTTTTTTCTTTTTTTAGAAATCCATAGAAAAAAAATAATAATGAGTGAAATAAAATTAAGTAAAAATATTCGAAAATATTTTTATGTTTCTAAAATTTCAAAAGAAGACAAATTTTAAGTATAAAAATAGAAAGAAAATTATTGTTAGATGATTTTTATTTTTTTTATTAAAAAAAGAAGTAGAAAGAAATAAAATTAAAAAGGTAGAAATAGGAGATGAATAAAAAAAAATCTGTCGTTTGGATGAAATAAACTAGAAAATCTTCTCCCACTTATTTGGATAGTAAAAATAATTAATTGTATAAAATACTTTCTGCTAATTAGAAACAAAAATTTTATAACCAACCAAACAAACAAGATAATAATATTATAAAACGCGATGTATGGTAATAATAATATGAAAATTATTATTTTTTTAGATAAATTAAACACCAATTTGAAAATTTTAACAAAAATATTCAAGAGCGTGTTTCGTTTTAAAAAAATGAAATAATAAATTGAATAAAAAATAAAGTAATCATTTACGTTACTTGAAAAGAGTGAAAATGAAAAAAATAAATTAACATGCATGTCACGTATAATTAAAGATATAAGCTTTATATATATAAAATATTACGATATACTTATCGTAATTTGCAATATATCTTTATCGTGATCTATGACAAAGATTTTTATATATAGTAGTTTCAAAAGAAGAATTTGTGAGCATTAACCTTTTCAATTTATCTTCCTTTGATCAATTCTTTTCCCTGAATGAATCCAAAGACTGAAAGGCCAAAAGCATGAAAAGGTGAAGAGGAGGGTGTTGGTCAAGTTGGGTGACCTTTGAACAAGTCCAGGTTGAAGACGTTTGTATTTGGAGTAATTGAGATGTTATTTCTATCTTTTCTCTTCTTCCACTACTTCAATTACTCCTCTATTTTCTCGTGCTTAAATTGTGGAAAACCTGGTTTAACTTTATGGAGTGTTGTTGTAGCAATCATGTGTTTTGACTATTTTTGTTGACACATGGTGCCCTAATAATAGTCCAAAGGAACGTATTGTAAGTTTTAACCCACGCAAAAGTAGATTTTCTAGAAGCACAAAGATTATCCCACGCAATAATTATTTCTTTTCTCCTCCATACACTATTTGTCACAACTTGGAATGTGTTAATAAACATCTTTATAAGATGAAAAAACTACATAATTTTTAAATTACAATTATTTTGTATATACTAAAAACTTATTTATATTGTATTTTGTTTAAACTATTTTTAATTATATATAAGTTGAAAATATTTGTTTGTTTCCTATTGGAATTTGATTTTTTGTATACATTATTTTACTAACCAAAATTAATTAATTCTGTAATAAAATGATAAACTATTAAAAGGAAATAGTATTGTCTAAAACCAAACACTTTAAATTATAATAAAATAATCACTAAAACTTAATTCCAACACCTTTTAGTGATGAATTAATCTTCAAAAGGTTCCAATAATATTTTTTTCAATTGTAAGTTTTTTAAATTATTGGTAAGATATTTATGAATAAAATATCTATTTGCTCACTATTTCTTGCACTCTCTTTCTCAATGAAACATAAACTCAAGGAAAAACTTGATTATCCAATTTTAATTTGCATTTGAATTTTTTAATAAAATAACCTTTGTACATATAATACGTATCTCTACATATAAATGAAGATTTTTCGTTTACAAAAAATCGCATTTATAATTTACAAATAAATTAAATTTAGAAATCAAATTATTACATAAGATCTTCTTGGACATACAATCAAGTTGTATCATGTATAGATTCATTGAAATGCTATTGAAAATTTTAAAGTGTGCAACACTCATATATTATATATTTAATGTCTTTAATTTGAGGTTTATAGTATTTTGTAGCACTTTAATAAAGGTGTAAAAATGAATCAATCTGATTTACGTGGATTAATTCATCACCAGTTATATTAAAAATAAAGTTTACTCAATTTGATTCAACTTTTTTTGGCAAGTAAACAATTTTATAAATTTGACTCAACCCATTTTAAGGTAGTAGATTGACTTACTTAAATATAAATATTATTTTTAATTTTTTAAATCACTAAAATAGTGGATTGATCAATTAATTTTTTTTAAGGATTTACACTTATACTTGAGTAAAAACAATTATAATATTAAATATTGAAAAAAAAAACAGGTTAACTCATTAATAAATAGTTCGAACTCATTTAACTTGTACGTTAAGTGAGTCAAACTTTTTTTGACCCATAATTAAAAAATTTCAATTTTTTTCAATTCACTTGAAAGAGAACATTTTTAGATTGAAAGAAAAGTATATTTCAAATTGGAAGCAAGGATACGTCTCGGTTTTATAAAGGGTTTTTCCATGTTTATGAAAACAATCTTCTTAAATACGATTAAAAAAATTCTGAAATTTAAAAGGTTTGTTTGATTAGATAAGATAAGACAATGTATAATTGTCATTTAAAGATTTTTTTTTTCATGTAATAGACATAGATGCCACAAAGGGGTAATAAAAAAAGTTCAAAATTAAAAATTAAAATCTTTTTGGGTTACATTATTTATCTATAAGTTTAAATTCAAATTAAAATTCAAACATTTAACACCGTTTACGATCAATATTTAAATATAAATACTTTTTTACATTAATTTTATTTTTTCACTTAAGATTTGAATTTGTTTGCTAAACTTGATCTTATAAGAGAAACTAATTTTTATTATTATTTAGTTATAAGTTTTTAATTATTCAAGTATTTTCTTTAAAAGTTAATTATGTACCTTATCTTTTACCATATCTTAGTTAAAATAGACAGAACTGGTTTTATCTTTTTATTTTTTTTATATGTGAAAATAATTTATTTCTTATAAATGATATTTTTTTTATTAATTTAAAATTAGCATAACAACATTTATTTTCAAAATAGACTCATTAGATGTTTTCAATTGTCACTATAACTTAATAATAATAATAATAATAATAATAATAACATAACATCCTCTCTCATTTTTTGTTTTCTTTCTTTTTTTTTCCCTCCCAACTCTTAGCAATGATTGAAAATTAAAGATTCTAATGGTATCAAACATGAATAGTCACAACTCATGACCATGACTAGATAAAGTATTTAAAATTAGGAAGTTATTGTTTAATAAGTCAATTTATTTTTATTATTGCTCCAAATCATAATAACAAACGTTATTGTTAGAAAATTGTGAATCTTTCATATCTCTCCCCATAGAAATGAAAATATTTTTCTTAAAATTAGATTAGTTGCAACACTAATTTATTAACTCATTGTAACAAATCTCAATCACGTGAATAAACTATCACAACAATATGATAACCGACTGATTTTCAACATAAAAGATAATACAAAATGCAATCCCTTGATTGTATAAAGTTACTTTAGATGAAAGTTTTATTATATTAACTCTAATTAGTAAGGCCACTATATTTATGAAATCCTCATAGAAAAAAATAAATATTCAAAGATAATATTTAGGATCTCTTTTGATGATCATGATATATTGCGATACGTTGGAATATCTATTACGTATTGTTGTAATTAATTGTTTGATACATAAAAAATATATGTTTTTATTTTTTTGTCTATATTGACATTTTAATGCATTAGGGGATATATGAAATAGAAAACAATAGAATAAGATAGTTAAATTTCCTTATGCTCATCTCATGTTCATTGTAATTATTTTCATCATCATTTATTTATTAAAGATAATATTTAAAATCTTTTTAGTTTTCCATGATATATTAAGATAAGATAAGATAATTATCATATTTTATTGTAAATAATTATTTGATATATTACAATATATAAATTTTTTATCCATTTCTGACATTATAATATATTTCTTATCTTAAAGAGAAGATCTAAAATAGAAAACAGTTGCGATAATATAGATAATTTTTCTTATACCCACTCATATTTATTGTAACTATTATCATTATCATCATTGTCTTTGTAATTATTATTGTCGGATCATTTTACTATTATTGTTATTATCATCAATATTCCTATATATATATATATATATATATATATATATATATATATATATATATATAATGTCTATTATTTTTGTCATTTGTATCATCAACCATTACATTATCCTTATTATTATAACAACTACTTTTGCTTTTATTTTGTTGTAAAAAGTTTTACTATCAATCTACTATAATTGTCATTGTTATAATTTTTGTTATACTATCCATATGTTATATGTTATACATATTTTGACAATTTCCACTTCACCTTTATTACCACTGTTATTCATAACATTTATAGTTATCAATTATTGTTAATATTATTCTTATCATGCTTATGTGTCATTATTATCTTATTATTACTACTACTAATAATAATAATATTATTATTAATTATCTTCCTCATTATTATTATTATTAATATCTGTATCACCACCATAACGTAATCTTCATCTAATACATACAAAATATTAATTTTATCTGATCCTTGTAACCTATATTATCTTATTATACTTATTTACTAAATTAACTCTTGTTATGAGATTATTTCATATAAAAATAGTTTTCCTTTTTTTCTTTTTACATTTTAACCGCTATTAATGTTTTAAAATTAATAACATAATTATAGTTAAAATAAACAAAATGATAATTTTGACTTTTTTAAAAATATAAATAAAAAACTAATTAGAGCTTTAAAATGCTAATGAGACTGAATCTAACTAAAAAAATAAAAGCAAAAGATAAAATTGATAAATGAACCTAAATCTAATAGCTATTTTCTTGAAAATGGATAAGAACAAATACAACATCCACCACAACAGTAGAAGCAGTTTAATAATACATGCAATTAATGTTTGTATTGAAAAGCAATGTTATGATATGACGCATGTAATGTAATTTGATTAATTAAAGATTGTTAAGTGGAGTCAATGACTCAAAGCGAGTTGAGGGGGAAGAGAAGGAGAATGAATTATTAAATGTGATTCATATTAATGTCAATGTATCTAGAAGGGAACTACTATCCAATAGAAAAACGCGCAATGATGGATCAAATAAAGTGTTGAAATCAACGTCCCTTCTTCACTTATATCCGATCCAACACAACACTAACGGAATAAAAATATGGTTATACTTTTTCTCATCAACAAAAATATGGTTTTACTTGGTAACAGTCTTCTCAATTCTCATAATGTCAAACTCCATAAATCAACGTAATTCCTCGTTCAAATATCCTCAAGTCAATACACAACCACATACAATAATACTAGTTAAAATAATTTTTTTATGTAAAAAATGTATGAGATAAATTAATTATACACTAAAAACATAGTTGAGTTAATTAAGGGTGGCGTTGGGGTATTACCTGGCCAGAGCATAAGCACATAACTACCGTATCTAAAATAGCACACTCTTTCTGTTGGTAAAAATAACTGTTTTTTTTTGGGGGAAAAAACAAAACCAGTTTCAACTTTATTTATATTCTCTCTTCTTCTTTGTTGTGTTGTGGCAACACACAAAAGATTAGAGAGAGACCTTGACTTAGTTAGAGGGAAGAGAAAAAGAAAAGGAGAAGGTGCAACATATTGACTTTGTGTGGAAGGTCCTTTGATTCTGTTCTTAAGTCTTCCTCTTCGACTCTAAAATTCATCATCCACATTTTTCGTGTTCTTGTCGTTGCAAAGTGAAGGAAAAAAAAAAAAAAAAAAAAAAAACCATTCGCTCTCGTTTCTTTCCAGAACTGAGAAGGTGCGAACGCGAACGATGCCTGTGGTTAACGATTTACATTGCGCCTCGAATACCACGTCGTCTTCGCGATCCGCATTGTGAGGTGAAAGGTTTTGTTTCATTCGGTGGATTGACGCAGCCATGCGGTGGTTACCCACGCTTTCCTTCTCGCCTTCGAGTTCCTCGTCGTCCGCCGCTGCCGTCGACAACCGCCGGAAGGCTTGGTTATTCGGAACTTCGTCCAAGAAGCGCGCCTGCCAAGTTGTCGGCGAGCAAGATGCCAGGTGGCACGACGACGATTCCCTCGGCACGCCTCACCCCTTGCCCTTGCCGGAGCTCGCCGCCTCCCCCACTGCGCTCCGTGGCAGAGACGGCAAGTGTCGTCTTCCCTCGCCCAAGGACCCTGCTATTCGCGCCGCCACCACCGGCTTTCGGATGCGGAGGTTGATTTTTCAATTTTTCCTTTCTTTCCTTCAACAAGTTTTTTTTTTGGTAGCTTTTCAATTGTTAGGGAATTGCTTAATCAAGTCAGTTATCTCCAATTGCCATCATTCCTTAAATTTTATTTTGCATTTTTGTTGTTGTTTCGGACAGGATCATGAGATGCATATATATATATATATATATGTATTTCTGAAATGAAGTTTATGACACTGTTTGTATAAACTTCTCCTTAGACACTTATTAGAAAAAAGAAAAGTTAAATGAATTTGAGTTTATTTGACAAGTTAAATCAATTTATGCACATCAATTTTAAAGAACTTAGGTCAGGTAGCTTCTATAAAAGTTAAGCGCATAACTTGATTTTAATTTATGAAATAGCTCAATTCATTTTACATTTCTTATTTTGTTTATGGAGAAATTATTCAAACAGAACTGCTTATGCATTATCAGTTTTATGCTGTACCCTGCCATGCGTTTGAGGAAGAGATCTCAATTGTGAGTTTGCTGATATATTTGGCCGAATCTTGTATTGTAACAGTGTTTTTGCTAGTCAAGACACGAGAAGGAATGTGGAGCAGCCTGAAACTAGGTCATCGGGAATGGTGCATCAAGATGCGAGTGGTTGTGGTGAGAGTGCTCGAGATAATAGTAATAGTAATAATGATAACTTGGTGAGCGTTCCTCGTAGGAGGAGTATTTCAGGTAGTCCTTTTGCAAGTCCTACAATGAGTCCCCAGATTACAAGGAATGGTGATTTTGTCCCATATTATTATGCGAGTCCCAAAGGAAATCAGTTCTGGTCTGCACCTGAAACGTCTATCTGTGAAACAGGGTTGGTACCTCCTGCCTTCTTTGATTTATCCGTCTTAGGAACAGAAGCTTCTCCTTCTCCCACCTCCCATCAAAGTCCACAGAGGAAAAGTCCCAAGAAACACGCCAGAGCCTTGAGTGGACCTCCATCCCCGATATATTCCAAGTTATTACTTGAAATCTCAACGATGCGCCGTGAAAGTAATGCTCCTCCTGTCAGTGTTCACCCCTTGCCCCTGCCTCCAGGGGCTGCCTTGTCCTCTCCACCAGCTACTGGTACCTTTTCCCATGTTAGGTCAGAATCATTGCCAATGAAAAACCAATGGCAGAAAGGGAAACTTATAGGGCGTGGGACATTTGGAAGTGTTTATGTTGCAACCAATAGGTATGTAAATTTTTCATGTGTATTTAAGATCTTCTTTTGCCTATTTTCATAGCCTCTGAAACAGATTTTGCTTCTTGACAGGGAAACTGGAGCATTATGTGCAATGAAGGAAGTAGAAATATTTCCTGGTGATCCAAAATCTGCTGAGTGTACAAAACAGTTAGAACAGGTTGGTTGTCCATTACTTGTTTGTTACCACTGCCTATTTGTTAACCGTGTAAAATGTGCAAATAGAGGGATGTGTCTGTTATGTGTGTGTGTTATTGTTCATATCTCTTATTAGAACTTCGGGATTTAACTAAAGAAGTCAGTGTGGTAAATGTCAGTCAATTTCTTTGGAATAGTAATTCTCTTTGTTTCTGAAATGTATTATCTTGAAACTTTTAAAACTAATGTAGCTACTTTGTAATTGTGATTGAAATTTTTTTTTTCTCAATGAACATTTAAGATGCCCAGTTCAGATTGACTAGTCTACTATTTTACTTTGTGCTTTCTTCTATTCTAGCCTTGGCCAATGCATATTTTTCTGTGACGACTCCTAAATTGTAGTATCCATTATGCTTAAAATACTCGATGAGGTTGCTTTGTTTTTTTAATGGTTTGGCTATATATTTTACCCTCCCTCCCCTAATTAATCATGACGATATTTTATTCTTTATATACTATTTATCCTTCTTACTAATTTATTCTTTTTCTCCAGGAAATTAAAGTTCTTAGCCAGCTAAAAAATTCAAACATTGTGCAGTATTATGGCAGCGAAATAGTAAGCAATCTCCTACTGCATAGTTAGCTGCTCAGGACTGTTCATGATTTTGTTACAGCCTTAAAACCTCCTAGACCTTTGGCTTGTGTGTTTGCAGGTTGGGGACCGGTTTTACATTTATCTGGAATATGTTCATCCTGGTTCAATTAATAAATATGTTCGTGAACATTGTGGTGCCATAACAGAATCTGTCATTCGGAATTTCACTCGCCATATTCTATCAGGGTTGGCTTATTTACATAGCAAAAAAACAATTCATAGGTACATTCACAACCTTACCTTTGGATTGAAACATATGCAACTACTTTGTTTTCGTTGGAAAACGATTAAGTTTTATAGAATTTTTTATTCATTTTAGATTTGGACCTTTCTGTCACATTTTTATCTGTTTTTCTTGTATGCATATAGGGACATCAAAGGAGCTAACTTGCTTGTTGACTCTGCTGGAGTTGTTAAGCTTGCTGATTTTGGAATGGCTAAGCATGTGAGTTCCAAGTCTCCCCCCTTTCTTAACTTACATTTTCTAGTTTCAGTCCTTTTGTCATGCTGAGAGTGGTTCTGTAATTCCATAGAATCTTTGTATTTCTACTTATTAATAAGATTATCTATTTATTATTGAAAAATTTGCAAGAAGAAATTGACATCAGAAACACAGGCCTTAACTTAAAAACCTCAAAGTTATTGGTTTCAAAATTCCTCTCTCTTGATTGAGATCGGCAATTTTATCACCCCTAAAAGAAGATTCAGTTGTTTCTGAATAAACTTCATGCATAATAATCAGATGCTTCATGCATTCTTTTTCAATTTCATTGCTTGAATATGTATCTTCAGGCTCTGGGGCTTATTTTCTGCTGTTGAATCTGTACATGAGGTGTTTCATTAAGTTTATAACTTGGGATCCCTTTATCTTGCACAGCTAAATGGTTTCGAAGCTAATCTTTCTTTGAGGGGAAGTCCATACTGGATGGCTCCAGAGGTATAATATTACTCTATTTTACCCTGTAACGTCTCATACACTCCTTACTAACACTTATTCTCATACAGCTTTTGCAGGCTGTGATGCAAAAGGATAAGAGTCCTGATCTTGCTTTTGCTATTGATATTTGGAGTTTGGGTTGTACCATCATTGAAATGTTCACAGGGAAGCCTCCTTGGAGTGAATATGAAGGAGTAAGCACCTGACGAAAATTTTAGTTTGACTCTTTTCAACTTTCTCATTCTCAGGCTACTTCAATAACTATATTGATATAGTATTAGGTTAAGGTTTCTCATTGGTAACAGAATCCCAGTGGTTTCTGAAAGTACTTATTAAACGATGGTTTTATATCTGCTTACATGAGAATATGGGATTCTGAAGTTTGGTAATGGAGGATAATGCGTCAACTTTTTACTTACATGAGACAACCTTTTTTTTTCTGTTTTCAGCTTGTGGATTTGGCAGAGATGATGTATGTTATGTATACGGGTGTTTTTTTTTACGCTTGCTAAATAAATTTCTTTTCTAATTATGCAGGCTGCAGCTCTTTTTAAGGTTATGAAGGAAACCCCTCCTATACCTGAAACACTGTCACCTGAGGGTAAAGATTTCTTGAGGTGCTGCTTTAAAAGAAATCCGGCAGAGCGACCAACGGCTGCAGTTTTACTAGAGCATCGATTTTTGAAAAACTCTCAACAGCCTGATGTTTTATCTCCCACTAAGCTGTATAATGGAACAAGCCTCCTGGTAAGTCCAGTTCTGCCGTTTTATTTTTGCGAAACCATGCTATTTATTTGGTATTAAAATTTTCTTCTGTTGGCAGGACAAACCACATAGTCCCATTAAACAATCTGAATATAAACATGATCAGTTGTCAATCTCCTGTGCAAACATTGCCAAGGGTAAAGCAGCTGACAGGCGTGGATTTCTCATTCCTTCGTTAGATATTCTTCCTGCATACTTGGGCCAATAACGTAATCCTGTTTTTAGCCTGGCATGATCATTGCCCACTTTTTATATGCCATGCTTTTTTCTCTGCTGAAGTTCGGCATTATCTCACCATACCCACGTAGCAGTGCTGTCACCAAACTTTTTTTCTTCCCTCTACTCTTGAAGCGGTTCCTCCATATTGGGTTGCAAGGTACAACACACCCGGTCCAGTACCTTAGATTGTCTGTGACTGTAAAAATAATTATCTTTTCAAATGACTGCGCTGAGGGAAGTTTTCATTATTTATGCCAATGGCAGGGACCCCATTGTAGTACTATAGTTTAAAGAGACGCTCATGCAGTGACTTGCAGCTGTTGCCATCATAGGTTCACTTTAGCTTAGTTTATCAATGATAAGAATCAAGGGCTTCTTCAGTCTGTAAGTTATGCTGCGCGAGAATATAGTAGCAGATTTAGAATATTATTATTATTATACATAGAGCCACGAAGCAATTAACCTTCTAAGGTGCATCTTTCTACCTCTATCTTCATCAATATTATGTAGACTTAGTGTGCATTCCTATCTGCTTCATGGGGATTCTAATTTGGTTGCTTGTATTAGATATGTCACTCCACTCCAGATGATGCGTTGTAATTGTAATAAAGACTGTCTCAAAATCGTCAGTTGTGGATTATAAACATGGGAGATGGAAGAATAAAAATTATTGATACCTTTACTGAACAGTATCTGGTGCTCCACTTTCCTGCTACCTCTGGTCAAGAAACTATAGACTATCTTGATACAAGGGTAAAAAAGGTTTTCCACTTTCGTTTACCTTTTTGGCAGGATAAGTTTTATTTAAGTCGTTCTTCCCAAAATTAACTCGGCCGATTGACCATGGGCTAAAAGTAACAAAACTCCTCATTCGTGGTAACCAATGAGATTTTAATTTAGTCTTCAAATTTCGGGCCTCCAAAATTTCCAAGTCCAAACTATGACACAATCTAGAAAATGACAATGAAAACGCGAATCAAAGGGGAAAAAGTAACAGAAAATAATTTTTTTATATAAACGTAATCAAACTGTAATATGAAAATTTGTAAATAAATTGTTTATCCTTAATTTTGAAGAAATGTATCGGACTAAAGTTCTCGAAATTATTGTGTCCTTTTGAATCAAGTGCAGCTAAGTACCTAACGCAAGACGCGAAACGTAGAAAATGCAGTAATATATATATATATATATATATATATATATATATATATATATATATATATATATATATATATATATATATATTTAAGCAGAAAGGTTCAAAATCTGAATGTTTCCATTGTAAAAATAATCTATTGAACAACTAATAAGATTGACTGAAATTTTTCACAATTTATTTACTTTATGTTAAAAAATATACTCGTGAGTCGTATGAATAATTAAAATCTATTTTGTCTGTCACGAGTATCTTTAAAAATATTCGTAAAAATTATAAAAACCAAAGAAATTATAAGTATTTATATAATGAGAATAAAATTACATTTCTATCACAGACAAGCTTTCTTTACTAAGAGTCAATTTTGTTAACTTTATATATGTCATTTTTTTTCTAAATTTAAGAATATTTTTTAAGTTAATTATTTTCTTCATAAATTATGCATTTAATATTTTTCATAAAATACATATCATAATTCAATTTTTCTTAATTTATTGTATTTTACATCATTTTAGTATAAAAAATAATATACATACATACATTTACAATGCATGTTTCTTTTTCTTCTTTGGTAGGAAATGTAATTTGAGATAGTCAAATTGATGGAAAGAAATATTCAAATTGATGTTGTCATGCTTCACTTTTCTTAAAAGCCCAAATATCTTAGTGCAACCCATTGTAGAACGTTACAAATAAAAATAAAAATAAAAAATTTTAAATCAAACAAATTAATTGATGTGGAATCCAATTTAGTTGAATCAAAGGCCTATCAGAATCAAGAATCAGTCTTTGGATCGCTCAAAATAAGAAAAGAAAAACATATTATTTTCTCTAAATCAGTCTCGTAAATTTCGCTTCACGAGTAATCCAATTTTGCAATTTTTTATTTAGAAAACATTTAATTTTATTATAATTAATTTTAGGTTTAATTTCTCTTATTCAGTCTCCTATTAATTGAGGTCTTATAATAACAAAACGATCATAATCTCTTAGCCCCAGAGTGAAAACTGTTGTTTTGTCTCGTTCCTATTTTTCTTTTTCTACTCTAAGTTTTTAGTTTTGATTTTAGTAGAGTTCATCTACTGTACTTTCAGTTTGTTCTCTTTTATTTAATTTGCAATTTCTATTGAATTTTTCAGTTTATATTGTTTTATTCACTTTATTCATTTAGTGTTCATTTTAATTTCTGTTATTTAATTGTTTAGAATTTTTATTCCAATACTTGTTTAATTTTTATTTTCAGTTCATCTTTTGTTCAATTCTCAATTTAGTTTTAAAATTATCGCTTTTAGAAATTTTAAATTTAATTATTGCACTATTTTATTTTAAAATAATTCTTGATTCTTGCAATTTTAATTAAAACACTTTATTTTAATTTTATAAATTTTAGTTATTTAAATTCTGCATCAATTTAATTTTAATTAATGCACTTTTTATTTTAAAGTGATTTTTTATTCTTGTACTTTTAATTAAAAATACTTTATTTTAATTTTATAAATTTCAGTTATTTAAATTCTGATTTTATTTAATTTTAATTGTTGTTAATATTCTATAACAATTCAATTTTTATTTTTATTATTTTATATCAATTTATTTTTAACTCTTTCCTTCATCCTTTATTTAATGTTTTAGAAAAAATAATATATAATAATAAATATGTTTCTATAATTATATTTTTATAAGATTTGACACAGGTTAATTATAATTTATTTATTATTTTTTATCAGTAGTTTATGAGACTAAAATTGTTATCACTCTTCAATTGTGCAAAACCATTATGGATACAGTCCTCATGTACACAAGAAATGTAATATTAGTCACGAACTCTGTAATAAGTTTGGTACTAATTATGTTTACAAGGCATTTTTATGCACACGCAAACACCAACAGTATTGAAGATCCAGCGCTTAAACACAAATAAAGTAACGTTTCATTGATGATCCTCTTGGACTCTGATCTGACTCAGTTTTTAGTTGGCGAATAGATGCGCTAATTTTACACCTCATTGTGTAGGCTAAAATCAAAATAATTACTATTAAGTCCATTTGCTTCATTTTGTGCTAAAAATGATACTATATCTGTGCTATCATAATTGATTATCAAAATTCATTTTAGCATCACAAATTAATCATGCCATTTTCCTCTATTTCTTTTCCATTTAAGATAGACCCACTTCGAATGATGTAAATTTCCATCACCAGATATCAAGCTATCAATAAGTGGTAGTTTTCTCTTTGGTTTCTGTTACTTTACTTCATGCATGTGCAATGTCCTTGGCAAATTACTTAATCCCATTCTAAACAATTGTATGAAAGAAGTTAGACAAAAAAGGTATTTATGTATTGCTTTCATTCGTTAGATCTTGTCGTTTCACTCAAAATGTGATGCATATTAATTATCTCGTGCTTTGTTAGCTCTTGCATGATTGTACCTACTCTGTACTGATTACAATACTATTTAAAGTGTACTTACTCTTTACAAATGCAAGTGGTAGGACTTGAATAGTAGCAAAAAAAACAGGTGCCCTTTTCTTCAATAAAACGCTTGATTTTCCAACGTATTGTCTCATGGTAACGACTGTAACTGAGTTGTTACTTGTTGCCTTCAAATTTTTTCAACTTATGGACTGCACTTCCAATAAGCATTATTCTTTTGTTTTCTTGGTTTTGTTCCTACTCCTTAGTTCAGTAGTACGCTGCCAACTTAGATATGATTTCTATTATGCAACGTGTCCAACCGACTATTATTGTTAACAAATCACTCTTGTTAGCTATGGTCCATGAACAAAGGATTGCAGCTTGTTTTGTCAATGTAAATTAACAACCTCTCACATTTTTAGTCACTGTTTCATCTTTGGCTCGTTAATTATCTTTTCTGTTTTATTTTGTGGAAAACACAATATATATGTATATATCCTTTGATCCAATTTGTCAAAATTTCATGACGACACTAACTGCATCGGTTTCTGTTTTCCTCTTTTAATTTTTGTTTACTCAGGGATGTTATGGGTCAGTGCTACTTGATGATACCAGCAGTTTGAAAGGGGAGAAAAATGCATTGCCTAATCGAAATTCACTCAAAGGATTTGACCTCATTGACACAATTAAGCATGCAATAGAGTTTGTATCTCCATCACCGTGTCATGTGCTGATATACTAGCTCTGGCAGCCAGAGAACGTGTTGTAAGAGACCATGTACCTTGTTTTATATTAATATTAGTCAGCATTATAAGGATTAAAGTACATAACATACTGTTGCAATTTTCTCAGAGTAGAGGATCATGCCGGAGTTGATATGAACCTCAGTTGTAGAAGGACTCGTTTAGAATTTAGAAACTAGTGAAAGTTTCAGAGTTGGATAGTATTTTTAAAACGTCGATATCTCAAACTATAAAACTTCGATTGAGGTGATTAAAAAACGAGTTAAAAGTTCTCGTTATAAATTTCAATTTAGGTTTAAAAAAATACTCAATTTGGACCAGTAAAAAAAAGTTATGACCACAAAATAAATCTTTATAGAATTGAGATTTTTGGATTCTGGTGAAGAAAGAATAAAATATTAATATGAAAGGTCGAAGGAAAGAATCACTCTTCCCAATAGAGACAACTCACAAAGGATGTGAAAGTTTTTTGATACAGTCAAAGAGTTTTTGAATCACTCAAGAATTTAATACAATCACTCTCACCAAGATAAAAGAGCAAAACTATAATATTTCTGAATAAAATTCAACTTGTATTTTTGATAAAAATGGTTGAGCTTATATAAAAGCTTTGTCATGAGAGTTACATAGATTCAATAAAAGAAAATAAATCCTAATAATGATCCATTAATCT